AGGCATCCATTCGATGACGCACGATTCTAGCATGGCAGCGCGGCAGAGAGTTGGACAGACGCATTGCATGGATGCGTTGACAGGATTGAGAAACATGTGGCACGAGCAAGACTGCTACCCATGCCCCTACTTGCTCGTCGAAATCTCGCAATACATTGCGCCGTTTTGTCGCACTGGCAGTTCGTCACGTCAGCGAATACAGATTCAAGTTGGCAGAACCCTGCCTCGTTCAATAATCTCTGGAAGAATCCGACACTGCCCCATCTTCCAGACAACACGCGGCCTGGAAGTTTACGAGCAAACTTGAGCGCAGCCTCAGTACCGCTGCATCTTTTCCAAGAGCGAAACATGTCTTTCGAACAATCTCTCCATATGTGGTTCAGCTTGGCCATTGACGCGTAAAAGTGCCAAGGTGGTTTGACTGGTAAACAATTCTGGAGAAACCAATCTGTCAGCTTGAGGTTCCCATTGTGAATCAGGCTCGATGAATGGTGGAGGCAGCCCAACTCGATGAGGGTAATGTTAAATGCGCTGCCCAAGTCAGCTGCCAGCAACTGCTTGAATACAACCTCCCCCTTCCCCATGCTGATCATGACTCCCGCTAACGCCCATCACACGACAGAGAAGCAGTTGGCAGGCAGCTGTGCACACGGATGCCAGGCCAACATAAGCACACGCCACGACTCACGACCCATGTTGCACAAGCTGTTGCGCATTGCAACCTCTCGTCCTCTCATTCCTTCATCTTCTGCCCCTCCCTTCCCACCTGATCAGGGCCGCCATCAGATATGTACATGACCACTCTCCATATCAGCGCAGGCGGCAAAGGAGCGGGCGCCGGGGCAACGAAGGATGTCCACCTGAAGCCTGCTGTTTCGCAAACCTTGCGCACTGTACAGTAAGTCCCCTTGCCTGACGCATCAATTATTGGCAACATGTCCAACACTCTGCGCATCGATTGGGACTCATTCATCATCAGGTGCCGTACCTCATCGTTCGGGCGTGAAAGCAAGTCCGAGGACACATAGATGCTCTCGAGTTCAGACACCATCAACTTATTACCATTCCAAATGCTAGAGTTTGTAGCGTCCGCTCTGAAGCGGTGAACAGACATCGTCGAAATGTAACGATGTGTTGGATCGGCATCTACGCAGGATGATAGCGAATCAGCAGCCTGTTGAAGCATGTCGGCTTCATTCTCTATGTGGAATGTTCGAAAACTAGATTGCAGTCGGCTGCCAAAACTGATTTCTGAACGGCACACTGTCTGATGAGACATGTCCATCAACACAACATTTCCGAATGAATTGGCAGAGATGTTGGCAAGGGCCTTTCTCATGGCAACGGCACAAGTACCAGGCAATGTGAGACGGACATCCTTGGCCCCCCTGGAGATGACTAGCTGGGACTCTGGCTGCGAACCCGTTAATGCAACGATCTGTTTCTGGAGGGCGCGAATCTCACTCGCAGCTTTTGCTAATTTCTTCTGCGTGTCGTTCCTGAAACCCTTGAAACTGGCAGCTGTGCTCTCAATCTGATCGTCCCTCGTGCGAATCAACTGAACCAACGTGCAGCGATCCAAAACATCATATTGCTGAGCAATGGCGTCGCTTCTCCGTCGCGCCCATCGTGAGACCAGGGAGCCCGTAGTGTCCCGAGGAACAAGTGATAAATCTGGAGGGGCGACCGCAGGAGCTGGAAGAGGCAGCGGTAGTGGCTGTGGGCGCGGAGGTCTAGGATCCATCGCAGTCGTCAGCATGTTGCGCCAGGCAGCATCGGAGATGCCCCGAATACCAAGATTCGCCAAGAGAGACGGTAGCTGGACAGCTCTGAATCCACATGGGTGCATCCAAGCAGGGCTCAATATGCGCCGAATTTGTCGGGCCGTTGCATCAGCATTCTGCCTGGTTAAAGACGACACAATGATTGCAAGATGTTCCCTGGAGATGACCAGCTCATCGGTGCCGTCCGTGGCACGAACAACTTTCGTGCGAGCAACAATCTGAAGCTGACGAGAAAGAGCAAACGACATATGAAACGTGACACGCTACACTCCTGATAGAAGACAGCTGCGGAAGGAAATGGAGCGAGATAAACGACAGATGGCGGACAACCTTGAGCGCTTGCTATCTTCAGCACATGTTCGGGCTCTTCTGCTAGGCGGTCGACTGCTCTTTGCCCGTGGCCCCCTGCCCATCTGCCCCCCAGCGCTGTATGCACCCCAAACGACTTATACACTTATATTTGCTGTGCGTGTTTGGATATTTCCTTTCAACTGACGCTGCTCCCCCATCAGGGACGCCCAAGATACACACCAAGAAACACCCTGACATCAAAACGGAGGAGGGGGAGGAGGGGAAGGAGGAGGAGGACAGGAGGGAGGAGGAGGAGGAGAAGGAGCAGGATGATCAAGAGGAGATAGCAATCATAAGTTGTTTGCTATTTTTGGCATCCTGGAACTAGAAGCGCTCTGTAATGAGCTGCGCATAAAAGTGTCCGCCGAAGGCGTCGCCTCCAGTATTTCGAGGTCCTGATCTTACGCACTCGCGATTTTTGCACTCGGGAAAGATGCTTGAGGTCAATTTCCGCACTAGTTCTAGCGCCATGAAATCGCGGTTGCTCATCGTTTTTGCTTCCCAAAAATGAAGAAGCCAAGTGAACCATTAGGTTGTTTCAGTGTGAGAACTTGTGAGCACCCCACGTTTTCAGAGCGCAAAGATGGTTGCGCTCTCTGAATCCTAAGAGGTTTTAGGTGCGTTAGCTACATCAGGGCCTCAACAACCCCGGCGCCTTGAAACATTAATTTTTGGGTGAACAGCAGTTGTGAACATACCCACTCCCGCGGCTGTCCTCAAGAGCGGTCCGCCGGGCGTGCGATGCTCCACGAAAGCTCAGCACGCATCCACCGACCCGCTCGCCGCAGGTCTGGGCGCCACCGCGGGCGGGGCCGCGGGTGGCGCCGCCGCGGGCGGCGGCAGCGGCGGGGCGGACGGCGGCAGCTGCGGCGGCGGCGCTGGCGTGGCCTGGCCGACGCCCGACGGCACCCCCGCGCGCAGCCGCTCGTTCTCCGCGCGGAGCATCGGCGAGGGCCTGGGACTCCTGACTCCCGGTGGTCACCTCCTGCCTGGACGGCTCAGCCGTGCAGTCGCCCTCGCTCGAGTCGCCGCGAGCCACCGCCTGGTCCTCGGCGGCCCTGAAGGCCCGGCGTCGGCACCACATCTGCCAGCGCGCGCGGGCACTCCGCCAGCCGCCCCAGACCACCGCCAGCATGCGCACGGCCATCGTCACGTAGCCCAGGAAACGAGTGCGACCCGTCTCAGAGCCGAGGACCACCGCGAAGGCGGCCACGGCAGTGACGCACGCCCAGCCCGTGAGCTTCTCGGAGTACACGGGCGGGCTTCCCTGGGGGTCATCTCCGATCATCTGGGCGCGCAGGGACTGCGCCACGTCATTCCAAGCCTCCAGGTCGTCGGGCAGCGTCTTGAGCTTCTCGGCGCAGCTCGTGCCCTTGACCGCGCCCTGGTAGGCCTCCCACAGCACGTCGCCGAAGCTGTCCACCTCCAGGGGGGCCTTCAGCGTGAGCCAGCGGGCGAGGGGCTCAGCAGCCGCGGAAGCCAGCTTGACCTCCTCCGCGATCGAGCCGCGAGCGCCTCCGCCGCGGACTGCGCGGCGACAGGCCATGATCGCGGCCGACACGTCGCGCTCCTCCGGGCTCGCCGCTCCCCCTTTGGTGGTGACAGCCTCCGCCACCGCCCGCCTGGACGCCAGGCTCGGCTTCATCTCCCGTGGTGTGTGAGCCCTTCAGCAGCTCGCTGTCTTGCCCCTTGGGCGGAGGGCGCGACGAGTGTGGCCGCGAGCCACCGGGGCCATGGCCCCGAAAAATGCTTGAGAATATACACCTCCAGGGCCCCACCCGCCCATGCTCAGACTCAACATCGCATTACTACACGTGCATGCTGCTCTCTCCCATACACAAACACGCAACATACACATACACATACACATACACATACACATACACATACACATACACATACACATACACATACACATACACATACACATACACATACACATACACATACACATACACATACACATACACATGCACACGCACACGCACATGCACATGCACATACACATACACATACACACATACATACATACATACACATACATGCATGCATGCATGCATGCATGCATACACACGTACATGCATAGATACATGCATACATGCATACACACAGAATCTCCAATCAGTGCTTGCACTGAAGGGGTCCTAGCGGATCTTGAAGGATTTGGCGAAAGTTGGCGGCCGATTTCGGTAGGCGGCCGGGTTCCTGGGTTCCCGGCCTGGGTTCCCAGGTTCACAGTTCCGGGTTCCGGACAGATTTCGGTGGGCGGCAGGGTTCCTGGGTTCCTGGGTTCTTGGCCGATCCTATCGATCGGTTTTCCAACGATCTTAGTATCCACCTCTCTATCGATCTCACAGTCGTCCTCACTATCGATACCACAATCGATCTCACTATAGATCGCACGAGCGATCTCACAATCGATCTTATTTTCGAACTCATCGAGTCGACTTCACTATCGGTCTCCCGAACGACCTTACAATCGTCCGCACCGTTGATTGTGATATCGATCTCACTATCGATATCACAATCAATTGCATCATTCAGATCATTAACTTCCAAACCATCTACTGATTCGGGGTTTACTTTGGTGTGATGTACATATATATATACACAGATACAGATCTGCATGTATATATATATATATATATCATTTCCCTCCAGTCTGCTGGATGGGGGCCGGTGAGGGTCGTTTGACTTGAGGCGGAACGCCTGCGAAAGAAGGAATGAGGAGGAGGGAGGAGGAGGAGGACGAGGAGGAGGAGGATGTGGAGGAGGAGAGGCAGGAGGGGGAGACACTTCGCAGCATCGGCGACTCGGTCCACGGGCGTCTCATGTTCCGCAGCACCTGCAGCCTTCGAACAAGAGGAGACGACGGACCGCAGGCTCCCCACGGAGGCGCCGGCCGTGAGAAGGGTCGGGGCGGCCAGGAGCCCACGACAGCGGTTCCGTTCCTGCTCCTCGTGCTCCTCCTCTTCCCTGCTCCTCCTCCTTCTCCTCCTCGTCCTCCTCCTCATCAACCCCTCTTTCCGCATCGTCGTCGTCGTTGTCGGCGGCGTCATCGGCGGCTTCGTGGCCCCGTCCCTTCCTTTCCCGAGTCCGCGCGTCGGTGCGGATCGTCAGCGCCCCTCGTCTGCATCGTCGTCGTCGTGGTGCGTGCTTGCCCTGCCTGGGACTTGTTCCCCTCGCGCAGTGACCACCCACCCACCCGCCCCTTCCCTCTTGCTCCTGATGCCCCCATCCACTCTTCCTCCCCCCCCCAGTATCGCTCGCGAGCTGGACGAGCCATCAATCTCCTCCTCCCCCAGACTGCGCAGCCCTCCTGGACGGCTTTGCGAAAAAAGGAAAGAAGTAGGACGAGCCAAGGCGAAAGAGCGCCAGAAGCTTCGCCAGCAGCTCGAAGGAATGGCGTTTGAGCAAGCAGCCACCACTTTCGCCATGCTAAAATCAGCACGCGTTTCAAGGATACCGACGCGAAGGTACAGCTCAACGCGTTCAGCGAGAGCGAGACAGCAGTACAACGCCTGATCAAATTTGGGTGCCGTTCGGAAGAACGGCGGGGCCCCCGTGGGCCACCTGGAGCGCCTTTTGCACTCAGGACCTCGTCGGCTTGCCTTGTGGAGCGCAGCAGGAGTCCGACAGGCGAAAGGGCGCAAGGAGGGAGAGGGAGAGCGAGCGCTGCCCTTCACCGCGCTCGCCGCCCGCGCGCCCGACCGCGCCCGACGCTTCCTGGAGCGGCGCCGCCCACCTCCGCCTTCGATCCTCGTCCTCCCCCTCCTCCAGCGCCCCCTCCGGTGCGCAGCGGCCACAAGCCGCCGGATGGGTGCAGGGACTCCGTCAGAGCGCAGACCGCTCCCTCCGGGGAGCGCTGCACTTGCCCGAGTCACGGAGCGCGCGGAGGCAGGGGGTTGCCCGCCTCTCTTCGGCAGCATGCCAGCCCAGGGGGGCGTTTTCAAGCAGAGGCTTTAGACACGCGGGCCTCTATTTGTGCTCGTCGTCGTCGTCGTCTCCCATACTGCCCTGGCCCCCCACAGGAGATCGGCAGACTGGACGACGCCGAGCCGCTCTACGAGCGTATCGTAAACACCCGGGAAGACACGCTGGGGCGAGATCACCCCAGCACCCAGGCCTGGGGACAGAGGGATGAGCGCGGCGCGCCTTGGGGCTGGGAGGAGGAGGAGGAGGAGGAGGAGGAGGAGGAGGAGGAGGAGGAGGAGGAGGAGGAGGAGGAGGAGGAGGAGGAGGAGGAGGAGGAGGAGGAGGAGGAGGAGGAGGAGGAGGAGGAGGAGGAGGAGGAGGAGGAGGAGGAGGAGGAGGAGGAGAGAGGAGAGAGGAGAGAGGAGAGAGAGAGGAGAGAGGAGAGAGGAGAGAGGAGAGAGGAGGGAGGGAGGAGGAGGAGGAGGAGGAGGAGGAGGAGAGGAGGAGAGGAGAAGGAGGAGGAAGAGGAGGAGGAGGAGGAGGAGGAGGAGGAGGAGAGAGGAGAGAGGTGAGCGGGGAGAGGAGGAGGAGGAAGAAGGAGGAGGAGGAGGGCCGGTGTAAGCCCAAGGCTCATGAACGATGTTGCAATGAATCCTCCCTCCAAGTTCCCTCTTCATAGGTCCCTACATGTATTTGTTTTCACTGGGGGAAGTGCCCCGCTGGAAGATAATCAGTTGACAATCTAGAGCCCTGGCAAACCACAATTCCTGGGATTTCAGCGCCGCGCATCAATTTTACTGTTGCATCCTGACAATCCTGGATTGTGCCAGAACGAAACCTTTGCATCGTGCCAAAACACAGTTTCACCCTTGAGACGAATTAGCGCGGCATTAAGGCGAGAGCCACAACAAAAGCCCGCCTCCATCCGCAAAAGACTTGGAGGAAATTGTTAAGGCTGGTGTGCGCGGCGCTAGGGCGAGAGCCACATGTTAATTATCCCAGTGCGACCCTACCTAGGAGTTGGAGCACTTTGGAAAGCAACATCTACATCTACACCGACAGCTACATTTACATCTACACCTGCATCTACATCAACATCAACAGCGAGACTCAAATCTACATCTGCATCTACACCTATACTATGTTATGCTATGCTGCGCTATGATATGCTATGTCATGCTATGCTATGATATGCTATGATATGCGATGTTATGTTATGCTGCGCTATGCTATGCTATGCTATGCTGTACGATGCTGTGCTATGCTGTGCTATGCTGTGTTATGATATGCTATGCTATGATATGCTGCGCTACGCTGCGCTATGCTATGCTATGCTGTGCTTTGATCTGCTGCGCTGTGTTATGCTAAGGTATGCTATGATATGCTGCGCTATGATATGCTATGGTATGATATGCTATGCTGCGCTATGCTATGCTGCGCTATGCTATGCTGCGCTATACTATGATATGGTATGCTATGCTATTATGTGATATTGTATGATATGTTATGCTATGCGAATGCTGCGCTAAGCTAAGCTAAGCTACGCTACGCTAGGCAGGGCTAAGCTAAGCTAGGCTAGGCTAAGCTAGGCTAGGCTAAGCTAGGCTAAGCTAAGTTAAGCTAGGTCAAGCTAAGATGAGATAAGCAAAGCTAAGCTAAGGGGACGCAGCTGGGGGAACCGCGGGGCGGATCCTGGGGGAATCGCCCGGGGCGTTTTACACTGCCCGGCCCCTTTAAGCAAAGAGGGTAAGAACCCTTCTAGGCAGAGCCTAGGTAGGGAATAAGGGAACGTCACTGGGGGAACCGCGGGGCGGATCCTGGGGGAACCGCCCGGGGCGATTTACACTGCCCGGCCCCTTTAAGCCAACAGTGTAAGAACCCTCTAGGCAGAGCCTAGGTAGGGAAAAACGGCCCGCCCTCCATCCGTGAAACTCCTGCAAACGTTTATGACGAATGTGCGCGGCGCTACGGCGAGAGCCAGAGTTTGAAAACGGCCCGCCCTCCATCCGCGAAGCCCTTGCAAACGTTTAAGACGAATGTGCACGGCCCTACGGCGAGAGCCCCATGTTGAAAGCGGCCCGCCCTCCATGTGTGAAAATGCTGAGCATGTCCAGCTTAAGGATTACCATGGTGGGGAAGTCACTGGCGAAAGGCACGGCTCGCCCTGCTGACACGCCTCGGGGTGCGACAGGGGGACAGGGGGAGTTGTGCACAGGGAAAGGGATGGAGGAGGAATCGGAATAGGAATAGCAACAGGAATTAGGACTTAGGACTGGGAGCAGGAATCGGAGGACGAGTCAGAGGACGAGGAGAGAGGATGAGAGAGGAGAGGAGGGAAGGACAAGCTCGGTGCGCTCTCGCCATATCTGACATCCTACCCCTCCCACTCATCCCCTCCCGCTGCGCTGCTGTTCTCCATCTGCCGACGTATGTCATAGCGGGCCATGCGCAGTCGGAGAAAAAAAGGGAGCTGCGTGCGTTGGAGGAGGAGGTGGCGGATGGTCGGGAGGATGAGGAGAAGGAAGAAGAGGAGGACGAGGAGGACTGAGGAGGACGAGGACGAACAGCAGCAGCAGGAGCTGGAGTGGAATGAGCGGGAGGAACAGTCGGACCAGGGAACGCGGAGGAGGGGAAGTGAAGGGGGCGACAATGATGAAAAGGACTTGGATTCGGGAACGTGGCCCGCGCTGGTGTGAGAGCGCCATTCTGAATAGCGCGATCAAATCGCCAATCCGAAAATGAGACCCACAATGCAGCACAGCACCGTTTTGAAACACAGAAACACCGTTTCGAAACACGTAAGGGAAAAACACAGTTCAAATCCTGTGAGGTAAAAACATACGCGGAGAGGGCCGGCGATCTTCCAGACGGAGTTAGGGGAGAGAGAGTAGCGATCATGATGTGCACGCGGCGAGGAGAGGAAGGAAAGAGAAGGAAAGAGAGGGAGAGAAAGGACGTTTTGGGAGAGGCAGGACGGCTGGTTGCTTCGTTTTCCTCGTATGAGTCCGCCTCGCCCTTCTCCATCATCCTCCCTCCTCATCATGTTCATCCCTGCTCTGTTGTCCCTCCTCCACCATCCATCATCGTCACGACCATTACCATTACCACCCTAATCAGCATCAGCATCATCATCATCATCGCGTATCCTCCTGCTGCAGCTCCGCATCTGACCTGCCAGTTCATATCTTTCTCGTCCACCCACCCTCCTCTTTCGAATTCTTTGTTCCGCCACCTCATCCCGCCTCCTCGTCATCATCAGTATCATCATCACTATCTTCACTACTACCATTATCAGTATCAGTATCAGTATCATCATCATCATCATCATCATCATCATCATCATCATCATCATCATCATCATCAGCATCAGCATCAGCATCAGCATCAGCATCAGCATCATCATCATCATCATCGTCATCATCGTCATCATCACGATCATCAGCATCATCAGCATCATCGTCATCTGCATCAGCATCGTTATCATCACCATCATCATCGGTGGCAGCATCGTCATCATCATCATCGTATCATCCCCATTCTCATCAACCTCATCATCAGCATCAACATCGTCATCAGCATCGTCGTCATCATCAGCATCATCGTCATCATCAGCATCGTCATCATCAGCATCATACACATCATCAGCATGAACATCATCATCAGCAGCATCAGCATCATCTGCATCGCCATCGTCATCGTCATCATCGTTGCGATCCCCGTCTTCAGCCTCCAGATGACAAGAGAGGAGGCGCAGAGGCCACGGCAGATGACGGTGGGCTGGGGCCTCCCGGAGGTCGCGCGACGGAATTTGACGACTCTGCGAGGGCTGAGGCGGGGAGACTGACCCCCGAAGGGGGCGAGCCTGGATCCGCACGGCAGAGTGTACAGCTGCGCCCGGCAACGGTAGGACCAAGCTACCTACTCGAAAGAGCGGGGCAGGAGGCAAGCTGGAGGAGGAGGAGGAGGAGGAGGAGGAGGAGGAGGAGGAGGAGGAGGGGGAGGAGGAGGAGGAGGAGGCATCCTCCTCCTCGTCCTCCTCCTCCTCTCGTGGAAGGTTTCTCGTGGACTGGCCTCCATTGTATCGGGGGGGGGAGGGGCAGGCGGGGTGGGCCGGCCGTCTGGACGGCCGGGGAAGAGGCCCCCCCCCCTGGGGGGCTCCCGTAGAGGCGCTCCAATTGAGCACGGAACCGAGACAGAGAAGTGAAGAACAGATCGGCTCGGTTTGTTCACGAGTGCGTCTGCGGCAGTGATCGTCTTGGTCGGTACAGTCGGGGCCCTGAAGAAGGAACCCTTTTCGTTGGAGAGGGGCTCGGCGTTCCTTGATCGTTCTGCAGTTTGCCTTCAGTTTTCCTGAGGCTTTCCATGGGAAAGCGAAGTTTAACCTATGGGAAAAAAGGGGCCTCGTTCCTTATTTAGGGTTCCTTAGGTCAAGCCCCCGACTGTAGTCACGGGCCTCCGCGGCATCGAACGCCAGTGTATTGAATGGACCAAGGGGCTGGCAGCTCCCACGAAGAACCTCGCCCGCCTTGACCTTCATATTCTTGTCCTGGCCGAGGTTATGCTGCTAGTCCTTCTCTTTGTCCTTCTGGCGTCCTCCACATGACTTCCTCTCGCCCTCCCTTTACCTGTCTGCGTCCATTCGTCATTGCATTCTCCGAGGGGGTATGACGGCCAGCAGCGAGTAGGCCGCACAGGACCGAATTCGACTACCGGGCCTGGCCGAAATCGGTCGCCAGGTTGCTGCGCAGAGCTTGGCTTAAGTCGGGCCTGTTCCCCTACAGGGGGATTTTCGACGAAAAAAATGTTAAAAAAAACAGGAAATATTCAAAAAACAACTCCAAAAATAGTCTGGGGACTATTTTTGGAGTATGTTTTTACCTTTTTGGGGTATTTGTGGTGGAATTTCTTATTTTTCGTCGAAAACCCCTCTGTAGGGGGACACGCCCGACATAAAGCTTGGCTTGCGCAGACGTTCGCTGCACCTGCACAGTGATCAGCGCTCGGGCCAGCGCCCGCGGACGGCCGCTGGGCCTCCGGCCTCTGCGGTGGTCCTCTCCCTCGCCCTGCTTCCGGGAGAAAGCAGCATACAGTCAACACGCATATTAAGGACGCGCGCCTTCCTCTAGGATACCCTTGCGTCCTGAGGAGGGAGGGGAGGAGGGAGGGGAGGGGGAGGGGAGGAGGGAGGGGAGGGGGAGGGGAGGGGGAGGGGGGGTGGAGGGAAGGGGAGGGGGGAGGGGGAGGGAGGGGAGGGGGAGGGGAGGGGCGGGGGAGGGCGGGGCGGGGCGGGGCGGGGCCTCTGTGGCCCGTCCTTTGCCGTTTTCGCTGGCCGCCGCCGCCCAAAAAAAAGCCCGACTTCGGCCTCCAGGGGTCTTGCGTCCTTGCCACGCGTCCTTACCATAAGTATACGCTTTCACTGTAAGCTTGACCTTTCGGAGGCCCGCGCGGACCTGTTGGATCGGCACCGGGCCCCCCGGCGGCGCCTCCGGCGCCGCGCCCGGCGCGCCCCGCCGGACCAAGAAGTCCGCGCGGACCTGCAAGAGCTTATGCTTATGTGTACTACAGGTTTCGTAATAAAAGGGAGGGGGTCTGGACCCTCCAAGACAAGCCATTTCAGACCTCCCCCGTGGGAGAACCCTCCGAAACATCGTCCCCAGACCCCCCAGGCCCTCCAAGATAGCCTGGAAGAGACCCCCCCCCGAAATGAGACCCCCCTCCCTTTATTACGAAATCTGGAGTATGCTTATGTGTATGAGTTGCCCGTGTCAATCATCCTCGTCGTCACCCTCGTCCTCCTCGGTGCCCTCCCCTCTCTCTTCTCCTCATCGTCCGCCGCAGCGGGCACTCCGCCTACAGCTCAGGCTCACGCGCCGCCCAAAGACGGTGGTCCAGCGAGGTGCGTGCACAGCGGCGCACCCGCCTCGTCAAAAAGTAGCGTCCCAGAGATGCCCGTCCAACCAGGACGAGGAGCATGGAGGAGGAGGAGGAGGAGGAGGAGGAGGAGGAGGAGGAGGAGGAGGAAGAGGAGGAGGAGGAGGAAGAGGAGGAGGAGGAGGGGGAGGACGAGGAGGAGGAGGAGCAGGAGGGGAGGAGGAGGAAGGAGGGCAGGAGGAAGGGGGGCAGGAGGAGGAGGAGGAGGAGGAGGAGGAGGAGGAGGAGGAGGAGGAGGAGGAGGAGGAGGAGGAGCAGGAGGAGGGGAGGAGGGGGAGGGGGGAGGGGGAGGAGGGGGAGGAGGGGGAGGAGGAGGAGGAGGAGGAGGGAGGAGGAGGAGGAGGAGGAGGAGGAGGAGGAGGAGGAGGAGGACGAGGAGGAGGAGGAGGAGGAGGAGGAGGAGGAGGGTGAAGGAGGTGGAGGAGGAGGAGGAGGAGGAGGGAGGAGGAGGGAGGAGGTAGGAGGAGGAGGAGGTGGAGGAGGAGGAGGAGGGGGAGGAGGAGGGAGGGAGCACGTAAACATAAAATTTGCGAGCCTCTCCCACAGCAGCGCCGCGTGGTGCAAGCGCGTGGGACCATGGCTGGGACCTGACATGTTTTGCCGTTTTGGGCTTCCTGTGGCCCTCCATGGACCCTAGGAGTTTGTCAGAGAGCGACTCGGGACAAAAAGCTTGTCGTGTAGGAAGGCTGCGGGACCCAGGACCCGCTTTCCTCCCGACTCGGCTACTTCATGCCAGCACGAGCGGTGAGGCACGGGGGGTCTCGCCAGCGGGACCGTTTGGCAGCGGGGTCATTTGGCGGCGGCGAGGCCAATTGGTGGCAGGAGCCATTTTGGCCCCAGCCGTTTCCTAGGGTCAAGACTCGTCATTCCCTGAACAGCTTGTCTTCAAAGGTTCCACAAAACCCATCGGTCGTTGAAATATTCCCAGTTCCCAATCTGCTTTAGCCGCCTTCCTACTTCAAGAGTTGAGTGGCTTTCCCTCTTCCCTCCTCTTCAGGAGGCGGGCGGAAACCCGATCCACTTCCAACGCCTTCCTACTTCATGGCGCTACATCCGGTGAGTCTGCTTCTAGCTCCCGGCGGGGGAGCCCGGTCCCCCGAAGCGGGTGGCCCGGCGTGGCCCCCCCCCCCCGCGCGGCCTCGGATCGTCAGCGGCGTGAAGCTGTTCGGGGCCTGCTGCCGCAGGGGTGTCGTGCTGGAGCAGGCTCCGAAGTCTGCGCCGCAGGGAGCCTCAGCAGGCCTCGTGGGGAGGCCCGCGCAGCACAGGCAGGGGATTATCTGGGCGGAGGGCTCCAAGACGAGTGTCTTCGTCGTCGGAGGGCCGGGTGGTGATGCCGCCCTCGGCGGAGATCCGCGGAGGCCGGCGTGAGAACAGCCATGGCAGCTCCGGCGGCGGAAGCCAGCGGGGGGTCGTCGCAAGGCGACGGAAATTGGAAGATGCGCCCCGAAGAGCTGTCGATGTGTTGGGTCCAGGCTTCCTGGAGCGGGCCAAGTGGGACGAGTGTGGAAGGCAGGAAGCACTGCCCCGACCAAGCAGGAGAGCGGGTTGCCTAGGTTTGGTTGCTGTTGGCCCCCATCGAGGCAGCTTTTAGGAAAACCTCCCGGTCGACTTGTCTATGGTTGCCTTTCCCATTGCTGGCGACTGCGAGGAGCTCGGGAGGAGGAGAAGGAGAAAGAAGAAGACGAGAAGAGGAAGGTGGGGAGGAGGAGGATGAGGAGGAGGAAGAGGAGGAGGAGAGGGAGGAGGAGGAGGAGGAGGAGGAGGAGGAGGAGGAGGAGGAGGAGGAGATTTCCACGCCAGGATGCACGACATTTTGTCAGAACGCGTGGGGGAGTGACCGCCCCGCCAGCCTTTTTGCTGGCGAGTTTGGTCACGTGCCGTCGCCACCGGATTCCCACACTGGTGGTCGAGGGCAGCTTCCTATCACAGTGCTGGAGTGGCCACTTTCTTCATGCTGGCTTTAGCACTGCAGGTTGACAGGCATGGTGGGCACGGCGTCTGGCCTACCGCTGTGTCATCATCTCGGGGGCGGAAAAGAGGGGGGTGATGACTAGGGGGGGATGGATATCGATGGATATCATGGCGGATGCCATGATATTTCCCCAGATTTCATGGCGCCTCTTCTTGTTTCACTACGTGCCTGGCCCCCCCCGCTGGGCCGCGCACATGCCGCTGGTCATGATTTGCACCCCCACCCCCTCTTGGACACCCCCCTCTTGGCCGCTCCCGAAAATCTACTGGCGCCATCTTGGCGTCCATGGGTTCATGCCCTCTTAGAAGGCGCGGGCCTTACGTATAGATGTAAGGCCGGCGCCTTCTAAGAAGCAGCCTCCTTCTAAGAAGCCCCCCCCCCTCCCTCCACCCCCTTGTGCGCGCCGCCAATGGCCTACCGCTGTGCCATTGTCTACTGGCGCCATCACGGCGTCCATGGCCGTCCTCAGCGAGGGCAACACCGCGTGCTGCGAGCACGACATCACCGCGCTGGGGTGCCGCGGGCGGCCCGTCGGGCCGCCCAGGGAGCGGCGCCCGCTCGGGAGGACCGAGCGGCCGCCCCGAGGTCGCACGTCGCAAGGAGGAGGAGGAGGAGGAGGAGGAGGAGGAGGAGGAGGGGGAGGAGGAGGAGGAGGAGGAGGAGGAGGAGGAGGGGGAGGAGGAGGGGGAGGACAAGGAAGGGGAGGAGGAGGGAGGAGGAGGAGGAGGAGGAGGAGGAGGAGGAGGAGGAGGAGGCAGGAGGGGGAGGAGGATCAGGAGGAGGAGCAGGGGGGAGGAGGAAGAGGAGGAGGAGGAGGAGGAGGAGGAGGAGGAGGAGGAGGAGGAGGAGGAGGAGGAGGAGGAGGACGAGGAGGAGGAGGAGGAGGAGGGGAGGAGGAGGAGGAGGAGGAGGAGGGGGAGGGGGAGGAGGAGGAGGAGGAG